CACCCACCCACCCCAAAAAAAAAGACTCGGTCCAGGGAACAAATTCTGCTGTATATTTTTTTAAGATAAAATTAATCAAATAGATTAAAATAAAAAATTGCAAGAAACTTTAGTGAAGAAACCTTCGACTTCCTTCATCTTTTATATTAGTTTAATTCTTGTATAGTTCCTCGAAACCATGCATGTTTACTAGTGTATTTAATAATGCTTCTATTTGTTAATTATTAATTCCCTTACTTATATATCAAAACGCGTAGATATATAATATATTTTTCATATGACTAAAAACACAAATGGAATCCACTTTTTTTCCTTCTATAAATACATCATTATTTATCTACTCTCTCAAACATCATATAGAATTGTCTTGATTCCAAAGATAAGCCAAGAATCCATTATTCTCTCTTCTCTCATTTTCACACACTCACATAGTGATTACCATCTATATGCCACAAAGGCCTTTGGTGGTCTTATTAGCGCATATCACAGTGTAGTAAAAACTCCTTCACTCCCCGTTTTAGGGCGTCTTACTATTTTTTCAGAAAAATTCCTAAAGTTACGTCTTTCAGTACTGAAACTCCAGTCGAATAGTTGAAACAAGCTACTCTCCTTACAAAAAAAACTTCTGAAGTTACGTCTTTCAGTACTGAAACTCCAGTCAAGTAGTTGAGTTAAGCTACGTACTCTCTTTACAGAAAAACTCCTGAAGTTACGTCTTTTAGTACTGAGACTCCTCGTTTTAGTCTATTTGAGAATGAAGATTGAAGGGGAGAAGATTAAGAAATATGCCTTGTTATTAGCTGCAAAGGATTCAGATTATGTGAAGAAAGTATATGGAGGATATTTTAATGTATTTTTGGAAGCTTTAGGTGAAGAAGGAGAGAAATGGGATTTATTTAGAGTAGTTGAAGGTGAATTTCCAGATATGGCTGAGCTTCAAAATTATGAAGGATTTGTAATTAGTGGAAGTCCTTTTGATGCCTATGGAAATGAGAATTGGATTCTTAAGCTTTGTCTTCTCTTAGAAACTTTGTTTTTTATGCATAAGAAAGTTCTTGGCATTTGCTTTGGCCACCAGGTATGTGACAAAAGTGTAACTATTACTATATACTGACGGTGTAAAAATAGTATAAGTGAAGTTTAACGATATCAGGTCGCTTAAAAGATAACTAGATATAACCATTTATAATAAGTGATATTAATAATCAGAAAAATAAGACAGATAACATATTGTTGCTATGATAGGTTAAAATTCATTAATTATTAACATAATTTTTTTAACGTTGTGTGTATTATATACCGTTATGGTCCGTCCCTTCCCTGGACCCCGCGCATAGCGGGAGATTAGTACACCGGGCTGCCCTTTTTTATATTATATACATGTAAAAAATAGAGAAAAAAAATCCTTCCCCGACATTGGAAATGAATAGTGAATTAGTGATGATATTCTCTAAGAACAAATAAAATCATCCAACAAGTTGGGTAAAGTACAAATACCAAAGTGCAAAGGACCACATTGCACCAGCTAAAGTACTTGCATCTCTCAACAACAACAAAAAATGTAGTATTTTTTGTTTTTGTTTTTCACTTGATATCCGATACTTGCATTAAGGCGCGATTAAATTCAAATTCGCACCAGAAAATTCCACATCGTAAGGTTAACCGCTCCGTAATAAAGGCGACTTAATAAAAAGTACTTGCATCTTGCTCTATAAGGAAGACTTTTGCTTTGATGTGGTCATTTATTTTTGTCCAAATAAAAAGAGGATTTTGGATATCTAACATGTATATTCAATTTTCATATTTATAGGTTCTGTGTAGAGCTTTGGGAGGAAAAGTTGGAAAGGCTTGCAATGGTTGGGACATTGGACTAAGGAAATTAAGCATTGTGAAGAACATCTCCACACATAGCTTCTTTAGTGATTTGGAGGAAATTCCACTTGCTCTTTCAATCATTGAGTGTCACCAAGATGAGGTATATCTCTCTATTTTTCTATTGTGAAATCATATTTGCTCTAGGGTTCTAGCCTATCGTCGGAGCAGTTTCACGTACAATCACTGAACTTTACCTACTGTAATAATAAAGTCAAAACTATTTTTGTTACGATAATATAACGTCTAAACTAAGTGTGAATTGCTATAAAAAAAGTCGATCTGTACAAACGATCTAGGCATGTATTCGGAGTTTTCCTAGGATTGGGTAAGGCGGAATGAAGCCACCTTAGCCCATTGAGTGTGTTACGTTCTTGGATCCGGTCGAGCCTCTTTGAAATTATACCCCTGCCTCTCGTCTAACTCAAGTTGCCCGCTCTTTTGGCAGTTGAAGTAGCTCTCTTCAAGAAGTAAGATTATATCCCTAGGGGTATATTACGAGCAGAAGTTCACTCTCTAGTGGAAGTAAGAGTAGCAAGGTTAGGACTGCCTATAAATATAATAGGGGTCCGAAAGAAATTAGATTCCCTAGAAGTTTTGTCCGGTTAGAAAAGCCAGAACTCTTGTAAACCAAACTATTTTTGTTACGATAATGTAACGACTGAACTAAGTGCGAATTGCTCAGAAAATACAAATGACCAGAAGGTCAAATTTCTGATATCGAGTTATGACACGTTACTCGTCACGTTTAATTTCTTTAATTTATTATGAATAGGTGTTGGAGGTGCCAAAGGGAGCAGAAATAGTAGCAATTTCAGAAAAGACTAATGTGGAGATGTTTACAATGGGAGATCATATATTAGGAATTCAAGGCCACCCTGAATATACCAAAGATATACTCTTTAATCTCATTGATCGTCTCCTTTCCAATGGTTGCATTGAGGTATATTAATTTAATTAGAATAATTTTTTTATAATTATATCATGGTTTTGTTAATATTTCATGTTTTCTCTTTCTCATCAATTTTGTATTTTTTTTTTCTTTATATATACAGAGTGGATTTGCAGAAAATGCAAAATCTAAGCTTTATAAAGCTGAGCCAGATAGGAAATGTTTGGAAAAGATTTGCAAAAAGTTCCTCAAAAGAGAGTTGGAATTTATCAATATTCCTGGCAAAATATGATCTTCAGAACTAGACTTTTCTTGTTTTTGTGTTTATGTATCAATTATTCTCATATTATGATCGAAATAACCAGATGTAATAGTACTATAAATTAAATGAACCTATTAAAAGGTTATTAATATTTTTGTGTACCCATGTTTATCCAAATACGTGTTGTGAAATGGAATTTAGAATTATGGAAAGAAGCAAAAAATAATCCACTGACTCGGATAGTGATAACCATATTTCATATAATTAAGTTTAATAACATGTGATGTGAGCACATTTGGTCTAAAACCCTTTATTTGTCTAAAAAAAACATTGAATATGTGTAAATTGTTGATTTAGAATCCAGTAACATAAACAAATTGGAATCCCGAACCTACAATTTCAAATCCTGGCTCCGCCTCTGTGACAAAGAGATATCATTATGTATCATGTAGGGTTCTTCTAACGATCTTAAGTTAATATACAATAATAGTATGTTAACAGTAAAATATTTGTAAATATTTACGTAAGAAAAAAGATATAGTTTATTAATTATATGAAGTGGTCAAAATTTGCAGCTTAAATTTTCAAGAAATTTCCGTTTGTTTCAACATACTGAAAATTGACGAACTGTTCTAATTAAGAAGACTTGAGAGGATTTGACTTTAATGAAATTCCTCGACTGTCATCTTTCTTAGTATATCACTAAAATTTGACTTTCTTTCTTTTTTCATTGCTTGCCCTTTCCATATATGTTCGAAACACTAGCGCCAAAAGTGGGAATAGTCTCTTTAAAATAATATAAGAGAAATTTTGTCGACTTATTCTAAAGGCCGTTCGTTGCACTAAAGCTTCTGGTATGTGCGGAGTCCGGAAAAGGGCTGAACTACAAGGATCGATTGTACACAACCTTACTCTGCATTTCTGCAAGAGGTTGTTTCCACAGCCCGAACCCGTGACCTCACAGTCACACGATATCAACTTTACAAGTTACGCCAAAGTTCCTCTTCTTTGTTAGACTTATTCTAATATGGTTAATTACACAAAAGCTCTTATAGTATAATATGACTCAGTTTCATATACACTCTCTATTTTTCTAAATGAAACACTACACCCCTATACTATGGAAATCTTATGCTTTCTCCCTAGATGAGGTATATATGTAACTACATATATTAAAATATAACAAATTAAAAGATAAATTAAAATTACAAATAAAAAGATTTAACATATTTATTTTTCAGAAATTTAAAAAAAGAAGATAAATTTTCTTGTTGAAAATTTTTATTCACGCTTTCTATTGAAAAAGAGAATAAATATTTTTTTTAAAACATCTATCTTTCGAAACTCATAAATACAAAATGACCACTTCGTCGAGGAGGAGGAGGAGGAAGGTGATCAACTCGTGTTTTATCTTTCCTAAAATCACTTTGAGGCCGATGTAGCCTATTGTCTACGAGTTCATCTGAACCAAGAACATTCAATATAAAGTAGAGATACATATGTTTACCTACTAAAATCTTAAGAAACGTTAGATCTGAATGCATAATTTTAGCAGTACAATGGATTCAGTGCATGATTGAACCCGTTAAGTTTAAATCCTAGATCCGCCTCTGCATAAGCCTGCTGCTGCAGACCAAGACGCGATACTTGAACATGCTTAGTACGTACATGGATTTGATGTGTGGAATTGTGGACACCCCAAAAGATGTGGAGCTACTCAAGATATCAGAGATTATAAAAGGAAGTATGAGTAATGAGAAAATTGCTGCTCTTTTTAGGCATCACAAAGCTACAATGTACATAAAAGAGCTAGAAACTACTAGATAAACAGATAAATAAACTAATGTTGCTATTACAAAAATGGACAAGATTAATTCAAGATTTATTCTATAGTAATCTAAAGAAGAATGGTCAAGTATGTATAATAAAAAGAATTGCATATTGTCAATGTGTAATCTTTTACAAGTCCTAGAATCAAACAATACTCCTTTGGGATTTTAAGGAAGATTTGCGCTTAGTGGTCAATGAACTGAAAAAGAATCATGGTCGTAGATTCAAGTCCGAGTAGAAACAAAAAGCACTAGGTGATTTCTTCCCATTAGCGAGGCACACACAAGCTGGCCCCGACACCATAGTCATTAAAAAAAGGACAGAGTAAGGAATTGGGAAACAAAAAAGACTTTGGAGAGAAAGAAAACGACCAAAAAAAAAAAGCGAAAATGGGCTTTTTCTTCTCTCTCTCATTTTGTGGTTTTAGTTTTCATGTACAGTTCCAATTCCATTTTGTTTGTTCAGTGTTTAAAACAATGAGAATAAGGATCAAGAAGATGTTCATAAGAAAGAAATAGGGGTCAAATCTCTTGAGATATTTCACCAAAAATATCTGGACATGATTCCCATTTACCAGTTTCTCTAGCTCCCCAATATCCTCCTTTATATTGATATGTATCACTACCTTTTGGTTTTGCAAACCACCTTGGTTTCCAGCCTCTTTCCTGCATCTTTGATGCCTGCATGTACAAAATCTTGATTACTATCTGAATACTACAACAACACCAACGCTTCAATCCTAAGCAAGTTAGGGTCGGCCAAATATATCTTCATTATTCATGTCGCTCTATTTATTCATGTCGCTCTATTTAGGCTCATCCTATCCAATATAATATAAAACATTATTTTTAATAAAATGAAGAAACTCTCGGAAAAAAGAAAAAATTCCTCTGGCACAAAGATTTCTCAATATTTTCTACTAGCAAACATTGGATCAATACTAATCATACAGAGGTAGAGGCGGATCCAGGATTTTAATTCTATAGGTTCAACATTTACGGTTCTTAGTATTGAACATATTATATTTTTAAATTTATGGGTTCAGATCCACTATATGTTGCAATATTAGTGAATTTTTAAACTAAATTTACATTCTGTGTCGAAAATAGTGGGTTCAGATAAACCAGGTACTATAACACTACATACGCCTCTGTAAAACATACTATCATGCCTAAAGCTTAATCCCAACTAATCTGTATCGTCTGTAGAAATCTTTTTCTTCCATTATGCCCTATTTTTCATTAGGTCTGATTACTTTCTGACTTTCGCAATATTCCAACGAAAAAGAAACAATTGCTTAAAGATTTGGAGATACAAACATGGATTATTATCCAGAATGGTGAAAAATTGTAAAGCAAATGATGATGTTGGTTAGTAACTAATTTTTGAGTAAAAGATGCTTTTCTGACTTAGATGTGAAGCAAACATATAAAAGGAATGATCCAAGTTGGAGAGTTAGTAAGTTCCTCCATGCTTGATATTGTATATCCATAGAATATTAAGTGAGTAAATACTGATTCATTTGGATGCCTCATAAATATAACCAGGTTTTAAGCATGTTAATTACCTTGTTACCACATTATAAATCAAGATAATACTTATATAATTATATTAAACACCAAGCTGGTAATTACAACTGATATCAGACAAAACCCAAAGCCTATCCATGCTTATTAGAATGTTAGTATTGAAGAAAATAATTATTTGTATCACCTCGCGTTGCCTCTGTTCTAACCGCAACTTTTCTGAATCAGCCATGTCATATTCTCCATTTTCAAGAAACCTTTGGTCTGGTCTCAGCCTTGAATCTGTTGGTGGCAATTTTTGCTGTTTGCAGAGACAAAAGTACAGATATTAGAATACATTTGAAAGATACAGATGTCCAGGACACGAAAATGACTATCTATTATAATATCCCTTTACCTTAAGCTCAGGATAGAGCTCATTCAGGGTGATTGCAAAACGCGTAAAGTTGTACTTTGTTTGGTAGTTTGATGGTTTGCTTCGCTTCCAAAGCAAATGTGACTTCGATTCAGAATCTTGTCCTACATCTTCTGACGAACTATCGCCCATGGAGTAATGCAAACTCTCATCCCATTTTCCAGATATTGTTGCCACTCTTTTTCCACTCTTGTCATGTATGAGTCCATGTACCTGCAAAAACAATTTGATATGCGATGATTAATGGAGCCTTAACCATTCTTTTTTGAATAACATAATCCATTTGAGAGCAACCAACGAGCTCAAATTTCCTATAGACTATACACACATTACATTTCAAATCATGGCAATATATGTCCTCTAAGAGCCAGAGGTAAAACTTAAATTCTCCATTCATTCACAAATATAAATATTCCCTAATTATAACCTTCAGAAATCATTGTCCAGCAGAATATCACTAGAACACTTATTGAACTGAATGCAATAGTGTGGGAAGAACACAAGCACTAATAAAGTGGAGATGCTGCACCTGGTGAGGATTCCTTTCCACAATAGACTGCTCCTTAAATTTTAGCTTGCAGGAGTAATCTCGATTCCCTCGGATATACATCGTACCATAGTGGTCACAGTAGAGTTTTCCAATAATGATGTTGTAGATGGAAGTCGTAACCTGATATAATTCAGTTTAACAGTTCAGCAGCAAGCGTGACAAAAAGGAGTTGCAGTCTTTTCAGTATAATATACATACCTTGTTCCACTGAAAAACTTCTCCATCGTCGAACTCCAAGGTAAGGACACCAACAGGGTCAAGTTGAATTGATCGACCCCAGAATTTACTTTTTAAATTCGCATCTCCCCAAAATTTCCAACCTCGACCAGCACAGTGGCATGCAAGAATCATGGGGTGATGACTAACCTATGTCAGCAGGAAATACTTTATTACACATTCAGAAAAGAAAGCATGCCAATCTATTCCCTTGTGCCATTAATTTCTGTCATAATGATTAACCGATAGCTGCAAAAGGGAAATGAACAAACCTTTCTATTGCTAATTTAAGTAATAATGAGCATTGGAGATTTGAGAATGGTATACAAATAATAGTTCTAGTTGCCTTGTAGTTTGACCAAATGTGAACACAATATGGACTTATCAGAAAAATTTCCAATTTATTCCTCTCCTCTTCCTCTAATCCTTCCACTCTTCTAATTTTCGATCTTACTCTTTGCCTCAACTCTAGTCCGATCTCTTGCCTTAGATGCACCTCCGTTTTTACTTATCTGTTAGACACTACTACAAAATGACATCAACAGAAAAATTCCAAGGTGCCGCTGAAGGCAAACAAGAGGAGCAAAATGACAACCTTGGGAAGAAATTTTATTTAATCCTCGGAAAACTATCAGGAATTGAATGCTACAATTTGATAGTAAAATGAAATATATAACACTACTTCAGCTAACATTCAGAAAATGATGTTTGTATCAGGAAAAGAATCCTTTTAGCCTGCTGCATGTTTCTACATGTGTATAGTAAGTCCATATTTGGAGAATATAAGCAAAAGACTGATATCTATAAGTAAAAGGAGACCATTTAAAAGCAGCTACTTTTAAGAGTACCTTTTCTGAGATGAAACGTACTCCCTTGTCTGGGTAATCAGCTTCATATGTCTCTCCTAGTAACGGATTAAATGGCTTGTAAATTCTTCCATCGGTGGAAGCATATCCAGATGCAGCAAAAGCAGCAACGCTAAGAATCCTCATAATGCTATTTCCCTACAAAGTTTTGCTAACAAAAGTGGTTACATTTTCATATGGGAAAAGATGGCAAACTATGACATGCATCACAGGTGACAGAAACTCAAAAAAGAAAAAGTATTTATAGCCACAGCGTACTGCTTAATTAATTATCGTCTGAATACGAGTTAATAGGTTCCTGATTTCCAATCTAATGATTGGAAAATAGAAAAATACTTTAAGAGAAAAAGTGTCAAATACCTTTTATCTTTCTACTGATTGCAGGCATCAGCGAGTAAACTTTTCCACATGTTCAATTTTAAATTTACAAAAGATGAATACTTTTTGTGAATATTGTCTTCTATCACTAAACATTCCGATTCTTCCTAAATAAAGCACAGCAATAGAAAGGCTAGAATGAGAGGATATAAGCGATCATTGCGAGTATGCCAACTGAAATATGGGGATCCTCAAACTAAGGGGAAAAGAAGACAACTCAATAAAATTTCATAAATTACAAATTTCTCAACATTTTATTAATCCGTTGAGCTGCAAGCATTAGGTTGGATGAATTTTTAACAGCGATACTGCCAAATATAACTGTTACGGAAGCCAAATGTATATAGTGTGAATAAGTCACAATTACTATACCAAAAATTATGACAGTCACCAAATAATAAATAAGACAATAAAGCAACAATAAAGGGAACACCAGAATTTACGAGGTTCGGCTAATTTTGTCTACTCCTCGGACACAACCAATATTTTATTCCACTCCAAAAATACAAGTGAAATAATACTAAAGAGAGAAGATACAAATGTCTTAAACAGATGAGAAGGCAAATGAGAGGTGCGTTTAAATCCTAAACATTAGGCCTTCTTTTAAAGGGGGAAAATCCCCCCCAAACTCAAGAGCCCACCGATGTGGGACAAAAAATTTGTCAAACTTCAACAAATTTCCACCTTGGCAAAATTCCACATCTTCAATTTTCTCTCAATAACAAATTTCAAATTTTTGATTGTGTCTAAATCTTCAATCTTCAGTGTTCTACAATGTTGATCAAATCCAAACAATGTTCAAACTTGATCGCAGTCACCACCTTTGTCAGCATATCAGCAGGATTCTTCGTAGTATGAATTTTCTTCACCGTGACTCCTCCTTCTTCTATGATTTCTCGTACGAAATGATACCGAACATCAATATGTTTCGTCCTTGCATGATAAACTTGGTTCTTCGCTAATTGAATAGCACTTTGACTATCACAAAAAATTGTGATACCTTTTTGTTCAACACCAAGCTCATTTAGCAATCCTTGAAGCCAAATTGCCTCATTCACAGCCTCTGTAATGGCCATGTACTCTGCCTCTATTGTAGACAAAGCAATTGTTGACTGCAAAAGTAGACTTCCAAATAACTGGTGTCTTTGCAAAAGTAAACACATAACCAGTAGTTGATCTTCGTTTGTCCAGATCAC